TTTATTATGTATTTATAAATACACACACACGTGCATGTATATATTTAAGAAAAATATGTTTATATATTAAATATATTTGTATACAACATAAAAATAAGAATATAAATATATAAATGTGTATACATGTAAATATTTTCAAAATATATCCATGCATGTGTGTGTATTTATATATACATAATAAATAAACACAGTACACACACATATACTATCTAAACAAAAGCTTTTATTTTGGATGTGATTAATCGTTTGACAGCACTTATTTAAATCAATGTGATAAACAAGTTATGTTAAAAGTAATCTAAAAGTATTACTAACTACAGTTTTTGTCATGTAATTAGAAATCAGTAACAGACTACAATTTGTAAGCAATCTAGCTCTGGATATACCATTTCTGAAAATGTGTTTGATGAATTTTGTGATTGGTGGATGATATATTATCCAGTTTTTTCACTGGTTGTTTGCAAGTTTGAGTTATGCCCTTGTTTGTTTTTAAAGGAACCTATGCACACCTGCAAACTTTCAGCCCTGATGAAGGCCAGTGAGCTGAAATGCGTTGGCATTTAATTACATCTTTTAATTACATCCTTCATCCTTGACATCACAAGTGTTGCTGGTATTGTCCCAACCTAACGTTTTTTCCATGCACCTTGTTGATTGTGTAAAGTTGCATGCACCAGAACAATCAAACTATACCTTATCTCATAATTACGACTTTTGTTCTCACAGCTGTGATGAAAAAATGCCTGTATTGTGAGATAAAATGTCACTTTTGTTATTATTTTTTTTATCTCGCTTCCATGTACACTGTAAAAAATGACTGTGAATTTAACGGTAAAAGACTGTAAAAATGCTACAGTAAAAACCTGTTAAATGGTTAACGGTAAATTCCCCTACTATATACGGTGAAAAACTGTATTGGACATTAATTTTAGTATGCCATTTTTGGAAGTGAAAAAGCAGGTATAATTTACAGCGAATAACCGTAAATTGACATTCCCTGAATTCCCTGCGTTTTTTGTTGTTGAAATAACTATGTTTCTTCTTAGTTTTTTCTTATCAGTTTTGTATATTAGGGTTGTATGTTACACCTAATGTTGTTAAATGAATGTTTATTGCATTATTGCAGTTTCATGTGTGTCACCGTGATGGTGTTTAGTGTCTGTGTGAATGACACTGTGCACTTCTATATATGTTATTATTTAAAAGCTGCTTGTGATGGGCTTTGGTTCATCATGTGACTTTCTCATCAACACCTGTATTTGGTGGTTATCAGTGTATTACAAAGGTACAAAGCAGATTTCAGTACTTCAATAGGTTGGTATATTAACATTATATCAGTTAATGAAATTACGGTATTTAACTGTAAATTGAAGTTAAAACCTAAAACGTTGCTACCGTATTTTTTACGGTAAAATTCCGGCAACCAAAGCTACCGTTATTTTACCGTAAATTTTACGGAATTTTTTTTACAGTGTAGTTCAGACTTTGGTTAATTTACTGTGCAAAAGCCAGAAATATCCAAGTGGGGCTGAATGAACAAGCGGTTTCATCTGTGTCTGATCATCTCATATCGAGTGATTTTAATACAATGAGCCGCTCGTCGTTCGTAGGTTCGCAGGCTGAGGATGCCAGATGTCTGAAACACTTGAGATGCATGGTCGAGGAGTGCAGGGTCCTCCATTCAATCATGAGCCCTTGTCTGTTTCATGCATATTTCATACAGGTCCAGATCCCTTTCATTACTGAAATGAGCCTCAGTGTGATGATAGCATGTAGCTCTTTTGCCGAGACTGTCATGTTTACACAGTTTATTCACACAGGTTCGGCTCGTGCTAGTAAGAAAGGCGAATTGAAGAAATCACAAATGAGATCAAATTTAAGCAAAATGCTTATTTCTATACTCTATAGGAATTTTAGGAGAAACACCCGAGAGGTTTTATTTCAAGAAAACATAACTTACACGTATACTTACAGGTCGTGTTATCTATTTATGAATTCAGGGTTGATCTGGTGAAATCATTCAGAAGCTCTAATCACATAAATGTTTCCTCTCATGCAGCAACACCCATCCATAATCAATAACATATGGATTCATGTGGGTTCATGAAACTATAGACACACATTCACTTTAAAAGAAACAAAAAGATTTTTTGAAGCTGTGAATAAAAGAAAGATTATTGGAGTATGTTTAAGACGATTCTATTTCTTTCTTTCAGAATTTTATGTTTAATTCAACACGTTATTGCCATTTCTTTGTTTTTAATTGTGAAATTTACAAGCAATTTCTGAGTGAAAATAGTTTCTGCACCGCTTTTCACTCAGAAATCGTTAGTAAATTTCCAATAATCCTTTATAGCTTCAGAAAAATCACACCAAATTTCAGCGTATATAATATGATTAATTTACATGGAACATACAGTAAATATGAACTTTTTTAGGAATGATATTTAGAATGAAGTAATCAAATATGAAGTTTTTAAAAAAAAAATCATAAAGACTGTAAATAAATGCATAACTTATAAAAAGAATATTGGTTTATTGTTTTAAAACTGGACTGACAAATAGATTGAGAAACACAATTTAAAAGTTGCATTTAAAATTAACTATTTTATTGTTACATTTTATTCTTAAATATTAAATGTAGCTATTGAATAACTAAATAATATAACGTGTTTATTTATGTCAATTTAAAAATCTGTTTTTTTTTCAATTATTTAATATTTTAGTATCATTCTTATTTTTCCATATTTAACAGCTGTTGGTTGATAAGAAAAGTCTTGCATTAATATGACAGACTTTATTTATTTTAACAGCTATTTACCCATACACTGAAAAAAATTGATTAATTGAACTTACTAATTGTTTTTAAGGTAAGTGCTTGCAATCAATTTATTTGAGCTACATTTAAATAAACAAATGTAGCTGACTAACTCTCAACATTTTTTTTTTTTAATGTAGCTAAAATAAATAGTTTGTAACCACTTACCTTAAAAAATTTGTATCATTTTTTTTTCCCAGTGTATTTTGAATTAGGCATGTTTTAGAGTTGAAGGAAATGTCTGTAAACTTAAAGGAAAAGTTTTTTTTTTGACAGTAAATTATCATTTTTTTCTACAGAATCTTTTCAAGTTCGGCTCCATAAACTATGACATGGGGAAGTTTACTTGTGATGATTCCTCAGTCATGACAAGAGCTCAACAGAATTCTATTCTACTCTATTCTCTTCTGTTGAGTATCAGTGAGTTAGTTTGGCGTCTCCGCAGGTGTTTGAGTTTCTGAACCTGATCCTGTGCTGCTCTCACATTAATAATTCACAGGCCAAGCATTCAGGGCTCCTGGATCTCTGAGCGTCAGAAATGAACCGCAGCAGAAAGTGAAGGATGTCCAAGAGAAGATGGGTGGAATTCAAGATCTGCCAAACCATCAGCTGTTCAGCTCCGGTCGGCCGCAGGACTAGACCTCCATCTCCTGCTGCTGCTGCAGGTATACAGCCAGTATTTCACACAAACTCACACTTCAGAAGAGCAGAACGCCTCGGAGAGGCTGACAGGGAACGCTCTCAGAAGGTTTTGGCAAGGTTCTTCCATAACGTTAATAGAACGTTCATTCAAAGTTATCTGTATGTTTTCAAAATGTTAGCTAAAAACATTATTTATACATCATTCATGGAACGTTTGTTTTCTGAAACATTTTAGTTTTTCTAAATGTTACTAATGTACTTGTTTCAGAATGTTTAGAGGACATTCAAAAGTAACATTCCCATAATGTTTGTAAAGTGATAAAATGTAACAGTCATTTAACCAAAAAACATTTTAAAAATATAAAAAAGCTGGGCGTTTAGAAATTTTAGAGCACATTCAGAAATAGCGTTTTCATTACTAAGAATGATGTAGCAAAACATTCCTAGAATATATTTTTGTTAGCTGTCTTGTCTTTATGAATGTTCTCAAAACGTTAGCACAAAAACATTATTTATACATCCTTCATGGAACTTTTTTTTTTTTTCCCTGAAACGTTTTAGTTGGATGTTCATGTAACATAAAAAAATTTTTTTTTTAAATTTCAAAACGTTTAGAGAACATTTAAAAGTTACATGTTTGCAAAATTATTAAATTAGAATGTTCACTGAACGTTCACATGACCAAGAAAAAACGTTTTTAAAAACATTTAAAGCCTGGACAACTTGATAATTCATAGAAATAACATTGTCATAAAAAAGTTATGAACAAATGTTCATAGTATCGTCTTCCTGTAACGTGTAATAATGTTCTCAAAGCGTTACCACAAAACCTTTATTTATATATTTATATATATATTTTTTACATACCTTTTATTTGAACGTTCGTCTAACATTCTATAAATGTTACTATTTTTCCAGAATGTTCAGAGAACATTCGAAACTAACGTTTCCATAACATTTGCCAAAGAATAACATGGAATGTTCCCTTAAAGTTCAAATAACCAAGAAAATGCTTTTAAAATATTTAAAAACCTGGAAGTTTTGAACGTTTAGAGACCATCCAGAAATAACGCTTTCATAACGTAAAAGGAACGTTAGCAAAACATTCTGGAACATATTTTGTTGGCTCAATTTCTTGACTGACGCTTTTTTAAAAATATAGGATACAGATAAAGAGGTGATTACGGTGTTTAAAAGACTAACAGACCTCTTACTGTGTCTTTAATTATATATTTAATAAGATAACTGGACAGCGATTGACAATATAATCTGACGTCACAACAATACTGGGCGATATATGTAAAGTTCAATTCAGTATAATATGGATCATAAATACAGGACGACATACAAAAATGTGTCGATCATATAGCTAATAAACAATTATCAATCATTTATATTTGCATGCTGCTGCACATATAACTGATATTGTTTGCGCAGCAATATTTGCAGGCAAATTTCACGCGTTCCATTTAAAGACTTTTGGCTTTAACCGCCTTCCATATAAAGCGGCCGCGTGTGGGCCGTGCGCCGTGACGTCACCGCGCCGCGAGTCTCGTGTGTTTACGTGGAGAAACATGGCGGCGACGGTGTCAGCTAAACCCGAGTAAAACACTGAAGAAATCTCACAGATTTACCGTCTGATCCGAAGCGGACGCACATGTCAGCGCTCCGCGTTTAGCGCCAGGCGTGCGGCGCTTTTCTGACGCGCGTCTCCGTGTTTAAGCCGCAGGAACCGCAGAGACGATGGAAGACGAGGAGCGACAGAAGAAACTACAGGCCGGCAAAGCCAAGGTGAGATTTACCTCATATTTACCTCGTCTTTACCTTAATTTTACCTCAATTCTGTCATCACCTCAGAAAACGACTGAAATTTGTGATTGCACTCACATTTGGCTTATATTTACCTCAATGTTACCCCTCATTTACCTCAGAAAATAACTGACATCTGTGATTTCACTCACATTTGCATCATATTTATCTCAATTTTACATCACTGCTGTGATTTACCTCAAAGAACCACATACATCTGTGGTTTAACACGCATTAGCTTCATGTTTACTTACATTTTACCCCACATTTACCTTAGAAAATAACCAACATCTGTGATTTAACTCGCATTTACCTCATATTTACCTCTTTTTTTACCTCACTGTTGTAATTGACCTCACTGAAATCTGTGATTTCACTCACATTTTATATCCTTTTTACCTTTTTACCTGACATTTAAGCTTAGAAAATAACTGAGATATGAGCAAAACATGAGTTAAATCACATATGTTATTTTCTGATGTAAAATATGAGGCAAATGTGAGCTAAATCAAATTGTACCTTACATTTACATTAGAAAATAAGTGACACCTGTGATTTAACACACATTATCCTCATTTACCTCAATTTTACCTCACATTTACCTCAGAAAATAAGTGACACCTGTGATTTAACACACATTATCCTCATTTACCTCAATTTTACCTCACATTTACCTCAGAAAATAAGTGACACCTGTGATTTAACACACATTATCCTCATTTACCTCAATTTTACCTCACATTTACCTCAGAAAATAAGTGACACCTGTGATTTAACACACATTATCCTCATTTACCTCAATTTTACCTCACATTTACCTCAGAAAATAAGTGACACCTGTGATTTAACACACATTATCCTCATTTACCTCAATTTTACCTCACATTTACCTCAGAAAATAAGTGACACCTGTGATTTAACACACATTATCCTCATTTACCTCAATTTTACCTCACATTTACCTCAGAAAATAAGTGACACCTGTGATTTAACACACATTTGCCTTATATTTGTCTCATATTTACCTCTATTTTACCTCACTGTTGTCATTTACATCAAAGAACCACTTACATCTGTGTTAGCCTAATGTTTGCTTAAATTTTACCCCACATTTACCTCACAAAATAATTTTAATATGATTTAACTCACATTAGCCTCATGTTTACCTCAGAAAATAACTGACATTTGTGATTTTATTCATATTTACCTCTATTTTACCTCACTGCTGTAATTTGCCTCACTGAAATCTGTGATTTCACTCACATTTTACATCCCATTGACCGTTTTTTACCTCACAGTTGCCTAAAAATAATTGACATCTGTGATTTAAGTCACATTTGCCTCATATTTACCTGTATTTTACCTCACAGCTGTTATTTACCTCAGAATATAGTTCACGTGTGAAATTAACCTCGGTTTTTGCAACATATTTACTTTAAATCTGTTGATTTCAATGCTCTCGTTTACCTCCGAATGACGTTTTTCTGAGGTTTACCCTAAATTTACCTTCCTTTCTTCTGACACTTGCCTCTATTTCATCTCACTGCTGTCATTTACCTCAGTGTATAACTGACATCTGTAATTTATGACTCATATTTACATACAGTATTTACCTTAAATTGACTTCAGTGCTGTCATTTATCTGAGGATTACCTTAAATTGACCTTCCTTTCTTCTGACATTTACCTCTTTGTAAATCATAGAGAATTGATTACCTAACATTTACTTTAGAGAAAAACTCTCTCTTTAGGAGTTTGTGTGTTGTTTGTTTTGAGTGCTTATGCATTTCATGCTCTTTCTGTGCCTCTCTTATATTTTAATATATGAATACACCTGATATATGGACAGATAGGGCCGTGTCGCTGTGAATCTGACTGCTCTTGCAGGTTGTTTAGTGCTGTTGAATGTAAAGACAGTCTGAGAACATGTGGATGGGCTTGTGAGACTGGATTTTCTAGCCATTGCTACACCGGATCTCTCCCATGCCTCACATTTCTGCAGATGAACAGATCTCTCTGCAGACTTTAGGTCACTATAACCTGCTGGAGCATGTCGAGAGCACAGAGACTGACTCATGATGTTAATGAAACAATACGATAATTGTAGTTAAGGCTGAAGTATGCTATTAAGCACAACATGCACTGCAGCAGCTGCTTTTTATCAGGCACTTTGCATTATATCTGAGACTGGCCATGTTGGTTTTTTAGGTATATTATTGGTTCAAGCAATAGTTTATGGCCTCACATTCTTGTTCCTTAACACATTGGCCTCTTCAGGGCGTGATGATAACACAACCGTGTTATCTTATAAATAGACCGGTTCCTTTCTGGCCGAGTCTAAAAATACCCAGAGTGTGAAGGAGCGGTGAGATTGTGACCCCTCTGTGCTGGAGTGCTCCCTATGAAGTGTGAACAAGGTCCCGTCTGTCTAATTCCCGCTGACAGGTTTTACACGACGAGCAAACCGACGGCCTCACAGATGTCGTTTAGATCTACTTGTTGTCTCACCATTTAATAGAGATATTTGGGAAAGCCTGCTTTGGTAAGTGACTGAATTAAATATTAATGAGCAACTGAATTCTGTGAATAATTTTAAAGAGTAGTTTACCAAAAAATTTAAATTGGCTGAAAATGTGCTCATCTGAGATCAGGATGAGTTTGTTTCTTCATCAGGTTTGTAGAAATGCAGCATTGCATCAGTGTCTCAGCAATGGATGCTCTGCAGTGAATGGGTGCCGTCAGAATGAGAGTCCAAACAGCTGATAAAAACATCACAATAATCCACAAGTAATCCACACCACTCCAGTCCATCAGTTAACATCTGGAGAAGACAAAAGCTGAAACTAATCCAGCATTAAGACGTTTTTAACTAAAATACCATAGAGTCCATAATCCATAATAACTCTTCCTCCAGTGAAAAAGTGTTCTGGTGTGAATCAGGAGAGAAATCTGCACAGATCAAGCAGCGTTTAAACAGCTCTAAACTAATATGTGGCTGGATTTTGATGTGAGAGACCAACAGGAGATGCATTTGCATTTTAATACAGTGGATTACTTGTGGATTATTGTGATGTTTTTATCAGCTGTTTGGACTCTCATTCTGACGGCACCCATTCACTGCAGAGCATCCATTGCTGAGACACTGATGCAGTGCTACATTTCTACAAACCTGATGAAGAAACAAACTCATCTACATTTTGGATGGCGTGAGGGTGAGGAAATATTCAGCAAATTTGAATTTTCCTTTTAAAATACCTTTAAAATTATTCACAGCATTCTGTTGCGCAATAATATTTAATTTTTAGTGCCACAATATTGTGAAAATGAATCCCCTGTGGGCCTTTTTGGTCCAAGATAATCACTCATTTCTGGAACCGGGGTTACATCTGAAATTATTGGTGCTAAAACTATTGAATCAAACTAAATGTCATTGTAACATCCAACTTTAATTTCTCACACTTTCTCAGGTGAAAGTTGATGCCCGAGCTAGTCGATTAGTCCAAAAAATTCACAATAGCTTTGTAAATGTCAAGAGCCACTGAATAAAGACGTTTGTGATGGAACGAGATGATTCAGAATGATTCATAATTTATTTTGAAACCATTCAGAGTGAATGCGAACAAAAGCAGAAAAACTTGTTTCTTAAAAGTGTGCTGCTTTGGAGCAGAAATAAATCACTGCAGACTGATTGCGTGTTTTGTCCAGTAAAGTATTAAAGCCTTTCTGTTTGTGATGGCTCTATTTTGGTGAGTTTTCTGTGATTGCCCAGTCATGTAAGCAATCTCTGTGTTTACTTCAGTTATCAATAGAAAACTCCTTAGTTTGACATTAATTCAGTTGATAGGTTTGCCATTACAAGTCAAAACTATTGTTTTGTCCGTAATGAAGAAAGGACAACAGAAGCATCATAACATCATTTGCATTCCTGTCCTAAAGCATTAAAGCATTGTGCTTGCAACAGCAAGTTTCTGGGATCGATTCCCAGGGAGTGCATGAACTGATCAAATGCATGTATTAAATGCAATGCAAGTGGCTTTGGATGAAAGCGTCTGCAATGTAAAACGTAGTATGTGAGTTCATCAGGCTGAGTATTTGAGTGTTGCACAGCACTGTGATGTTACGTTTGCACAAGACAGATAAAGGGATTTTTGCATGTGCGGACTGGAGGCTTTCAAAAGATCTTGATTTCTAAACCGTTTCAGCGCGGATGACCCATGAACCCTGAGCTCGTGTGTTTGACGCATCATGTGCTGGCTCTGATCTGCTGTTTGTTTTGCTGCACCGAACCGTTGGTATTCAGAGCAGCTGTCGGCACACGCTGTTTTCGTGCCAGTGTCATTAGTGAGCGCTAGGGATGCACCGAAATGAAAATTCTTGGCCGAAACTGAACAAAATGAAACACTGGGCCGAAGACCGTATACCGAACACGGTTTATCAAGGTTTTTCCCCCATGTATTTTACCAATTTTTTTTCACCATTGCATAAATTAAATAGCCAAAATGTGCTTTTTACTGTTTTGTCTTGCTTTACAAAGAAAAAATCAATTACAAAACAACAATTTAAAAATATTTAACACTGAACTTTTTTTTTAAACATTCTAGCAGACATTACACCAACAAAGCACAATTTAACTTATAATTAATACGTTAGTAAAATAATATTTTTTGGCGATCAGACCCCCTTCTTGAATCAGGCATGTATTTTTACTGCACAAATAAAAGCAGCCTTGCTGCACAGAAGAGACTTCTTTTAAAACATTACAAAATATTACAGATCCCAATTTGAACACTGTGTGAATGCTATAATAAATGTATTAACAGAGCTGTTGTAATTATTATTATTATTATCATTATTATTGTCTTTTTATTTTACAGAACAACAGTAAAATTACAACAATACTAACATTTATGAATGTTGAGGAAGTTCTTGCTTTTTCTCATGCAATGTGTGTGAAAACATAAAGTTCTGCAGTTTATTTACTAA